AGCCAGAGTCAGTCAGAGTTCAGGAAGTGTTTTATGATTTATGTGCGCAAGAACATGGACCAGATTTGGCCACGTCTGTTTGGCTCCCAAGGCACTCCATGGCTATCCTCCTTCACCAGCTGTCCGGCAATCTCGTGAATCCTCTTCAGGGTGAACGGTGCGGACATCGACGTGACGCGCCGCACGTTCGTCGTGCCACCCGAGACTGCGCGACGCGACGTGATGCACCGCCTGGGGAGTCGACCTGCTCGCGGTCGAGTGCTTTCGGCGTCTCTGGGCCGAGACTGCGCGAGACATTGGAAGATGCTGCATGTACTCCGTGCAATTGCCAAGTTCCTTCCATTCCAAGGAAACACATGGTTGCGAAGCCTGACTTGCCTGCAACCAACAGCATTCCCTGAATAGCACAGAGGCCCTAGACCCCAGATGATCCCTGACGATCCCACATGATCCCAGATGCAGAGAACCTCGTATGTCTTTCCATATGTGTCCCAAGCAGTACCAGTTACGTCAAAAAAGATGCCACGGAGTGCTCCAACTGTGGCCACAACTGGGCCCAAGCGGTGCAAATCCGTTGGCGTCCCAGGGTCAAGACCTGGCGACACCAAGCAGTGACATCAAGCGGTGCACTGCTTAACCCTTGTGACCCGCACTTCACAAGGATGATAGTCATATCGCCAAGTCACGAAATGGTCAAAATGGAACCGTTCTACATTTTACACCTCAATTTACTATCCACTGAATTTGGAGCGCCCGATGCTTCTCAAAATACTCAAAGTGGATAGTTACAGTAAACATATATATCTTTGCGAGCGAATGCAGGTGTCTATCTGGTGTCTATCTCATCCGCACCAATTGACACATGAACTCCAGGCAGAGCATGTAACAAGCGTCAAAGCGCCCCCTTTCCTTTGGTCAGAGAGTGCCTCTAGGTCTAGGATCGTTTGGCTGTCTTGTGTGGCAAAGGCTTGCCGCTTTGCCCAGCCGCGGAACCTCTGTGATCAGTTGCATCAGTTGGCAGCTGATCAGCTTGATGCTTTCGATCAAGGGACGAATTCACTTCCACCTGACTGTTCGTGCAAAGTATGAGTGACTCATACTGCCTGTGAATTCTTCGGGGAGCTCTGTCTGTACAAGCTTTACAAAGGCCCCACTGTAAGCTTCGTGATAAAAGCCTTCAGAAAAGTCTTCAAAAATTGCGCAATTAAATGAAATACTAAAAGACTAAGGCTCACACTGCTCTTGTCGCCCCACAGTCCACGACTTCGAGTTCGTCATCTTTCATCTTGAAGACCCTCTCAGCGAAGCCTGCGTCGACCATGGCCTGTGTAATGTGGGAGGAGTTGTTGATCACGGACATGCGTGCAAAGCCCTCGGTCTGCTTCAGCGCAAGAACGGTATTGAAGAACTTGGCTTCCACCTCTGGTGCCCAGCCGGCAGTGGCTTGGTCCAAGAGCAGCAGGGAAGGCATGCGATAAATGGCCCGCGCGAGGCAGATCCGTTGTGCCAGCTCCGGGTCCAGGCTCCGCCGTTCCCCAAGCTGCGTCGAGAGGTTCAGACCATCCGGCCCCTCGGAGCCTTCAGAGACTTCGTACTCGTCCAAATGAAGACGAGCCAGCCTTGCAGCTTGCAGCAGTTTCTCCTCATCGATCTCCTTGGCGCCAAAGCAAATGTTCTCTCGGACAGTGCCCATCAGAATGCTTGGTGTTTTGGACAAGACAGCTGTGCGGTTCTTCAGGCGTTGCACTGCAAGCCATTGAGGCCCTTTGTAGTTCTCAGGACGTAGCTCAAGGCCATGGCTGCCATAGCCATTGAACAGCTTCAGGAAGTCAGGCATAGGGCCACCTTCCTCACTGGTGAAGGACACCAAAGATCCTTGTGGGATTCGGAAGCCAGGCGCCACCGTGACGTCAGACACCTCTCCCTGTTCAGGTTCCTGGTGATCCAACACCACACCATTCATGAGGTTGCGGCTGAGGTTCCTCTGCCAGTCCCACAGCAATTGCTTTGGCTGTTCGTTTTTGGTCTCCAGAAATTCCGCCACACTCTGCGTGGCGCCGGACAGCTTGGTAATTTCCTTCACGAACGCTCCAAGTTTGGTTGTTGGAGAGGCCAGCTGCGTAAAGAGCGCCACGATGCCGGTGAAATCCCCCACGGTCAAAGTCCCTTTAACAGCCATGTTGGCCAAGATCACCACATGAAGGGCCACAAAGAGTTGAAGCATCTGGGTGATGTAACCTCCCACGACGCCCGACCAGAATTCCACGTGGCGCTTCGAGCGTTTCACCTCTAAGCTGCGGGGTAAAAAGATCTGCTTCATCCAGGCTTGCTGCCTGTCGGTATGCCAAATCATGGAATGGCACGACAAGGCATTGGAGAAGACCGCACCCACCTTCGAAGAAGCATCTTTGAAAGCTGTGGAGGCCAGCTTCGACCTGGAAGCAAGGTATGGCAGCCAGAAATACAGGCAGCGTCTTCTTCTTGGTCAGTTGAATCTGTTTGTCTACGTTGTATCTACAATTAAGTTTAAACGTACATGCAAGCATGCTACATACATGAAACTCGGATCGATCTGCTCATTTCGGCTCCTTCCCACCTGGAGTCGGGGACAGTGGTGAAAATGAAGGGAAAAATGGTCATGGCCAAAAATCCCACTTCAGCTCGCACATAGGTCACATAGCCCAGCGCGATGGCCAGCTTCACGAAAGGTGCCAATAATTGCTTCAGCATCATGTTCATGAGTTTCTCCATCCGTGCGATGTCTGATCGAAACACATCTTGGCAATCTTCATGAGAAAACTTGGACGACTCGTTGAATTCCATGTAGATCATGCGTTGACTGATCTTGGTCTGCAGTCTCACAAGCCCTTCTGCGAGAATGATCGCTGTTACATAGGTCAACATCGCGAAGGGTAGTGCTGCGCTGACAATCACGGCCATGTAAACCCCTGATGAAGACATCACTGCCCCAGCATCACCTCTCGTTACAGCATCCGTCAAATGCTTGACTGCTGCCGCTGTAGCTGGGATGGCCACCGCATCCAACACCGCCACAAGCAAGAAGCAAACCACTCCGATGCGATGGGCTTTCCAAATCAAAAATAGCCCAAGCATAGTTCCATCGAGCATGCTCTGTTTTTTCTTGCTTTGCTTGGCTTTGCCGTCTTGTTTCTTCTTTGCATCAGTCAGCTCTGTGTCACCAGTCGGTAAGGGCCTCGCCAGCATGGCTAAGGCAGCCAAGATGGTCATTGCATAGTCCACATGCTGGATTGCTGCTGCATAGCCATCAGGCAGAAACTCCTTTAGAAGCTGCACCGTCATCAGGAGTGCCAGCAAGGCAATGTGGCATTGCAATGTCCGATCTCTTCCAGAAGAAATCCGCCACCCAATTTCTCCCAGTAAAACAAGGCCATTGACTCCAATTGACACCCAGCACAGGTAACGGTACCATTGCATCTTTGCAAAGAGCTCGTCATTGGTTAGCAACTGCAAGTACAACGACAGCCAGGCGAGCAGAAGCAAATAGAGCAAACCAATGAAGTGCAGCGTTGCCAAAAGAGACTGAGAACATGAGGAAAGCTTTGCAAAAAGCTTTGTAAGCAGCTGGAGCCTAGCACGTGGTTGCTCCACACTTGTCACACTCTCACTGTTCAGTCCCAGCTCCGGATCGACTGCGGCTTGAAGGGTGCGCACCAGCGCTGACTCCGGCATCTCTTCTGCAGGTGCCATGGCCCTCAGTGATTGAAACCTAGAGCCAACTTGGAATGAACTGACAAGAACAAAGTGTGTGAGTACATGTCTTTGCATACTGTTGCCTGTGCGCTCGAGCCGGTTGCTATGTTTTGAAGCATCCAATGAGTTCAATTGTGTCACCGGTGGTATTGAAGAACAGGGCAGCACACTCTGCTGGCCCCGTTCACAAATGTGCCGGGCGCACCAAGTAGGCCTTCTCAATACTTCGCTCCAACTTGGCCTTTCTTTCCGCTGATCTTCCAGAAACAGTCAGCAAAAATGGATACGTCGGATACGACCAGCAAGTGTATTTCTTTGTACAGTAGAGAATCTGAAAAGCCTTGTAGGCTCAACTGAGCCACACTCCAACCGGGTTCAGGACCTCCGCAGCTGCTAGCTCGAGGACTCTGTGGTCCTTCGAAGTGGGAGCACACCTGGAGATACGGTCTGCCGGGTTCTAAGGTGATGGACATGGTCCAAACCTCCAATCAATACACATTCTGTGGATCGAGTTTGCAATCAATTACAGTAGTCTCCAATGCGCATTAGTCAATGTCCTATCTGTAGATCCTTTGTTGTCAGACCTGTCTTTGGTTCGTTCGTCTCTTTGCGAGGAAGCCAGAGGTTTTTTCAGCAGTGTCAGGAAAGAGGTTTCTGCCAAACCTTAGCTGTCGCAAATCCTTCCTTTTGGTCAGAAACATCTCCATCTCTGCAGGGTCTCACCCTGCCTGGCCAGCACTGGTTCGCGCTTCGGCATTGGGCACGGCCCGGCCCACAGCGGGGCCACATTGGTGGAAATTAAGTGAGTGAGGGCCCAAGCTGGGGGGTCGGTGAGGAGTTTGCTAAGTGCAAGTCTCATGGGCCTTCTCTGACGGATTTCTCAAGTCAAGTGTTTTCTGCTCCAAAACCTTTCAGGGCGGACGAGAAATTTTTCACAACGAAGCAACAGCCAATTACAACACAAAACAACATTGGTCTGCTTCTGCTGGCCCAATGCAGTTATATCAAGTGAAATCACTTCGTGACCTTGATCAGGCGTCCCAAACCGGTATTCAATGCTGCGACGAGTGACGAACTGAAACTGAAACACTCCTAATAGCTTCTGGTTCCTAATAGCTTCTTGCTCCTAGTAGTACGGCCAGGAGCCCCTAGTAGCGTCCTTGTTCCTAGTAGTAAGGCCAGGAGCCCCTAGTAGCGTCCTCTTGCGTCACAAAAGCACCAGATCTGCCTAACTTGCATTGCCTGTTGACGTTCGCCAATACCATGGCCTCTTCTTGCGTGCAGGGCCATAAGATGGCGATCCTCTGTACCTACCTGGAGTTCCACGCGGCTCGTGACACGGATCCATCGGTCACTCACCACGTTGCAGCTGAGTGACCCATGATCTCGTCCATCCATGGCCATGTGACCCATGGCTCGCTCTTGGAGGAGAGACCGGTGACGGGTGTTTACCGATGGCTGGTTGATGCCTTTGGGGGTCCGAGATGTCCAATCGAGGGCAATTGATCATCACCAAAGCTATTTTGTGGCTGGTTGACAAGCAACAGCTACAGTACGTGGGGGCACCAGTGCCTGTGCCAATCCAAGCAAAATACTGCACAAAAGGAAATGTCACCAAGACAACGACTGCTTTTCACACCGAACAGCAGAACTACATTTATGTTCTGCCATCCCTGCAAAAGCCCCCCTCATTGAGGGCCTTGCACTTCAGGGAGTGAGATGGATTTTGCAACTTGAAAACTCTCATCCTGCTTAGTTCCAATGCTCCTCTTCTCAAACGAGAAGACTTCCAGGCTTCACCCACGTCTTTGCACAGGCTGAAGCCCACTTCTCCGATTCATTTCACGCTTCTCTCAACGAGCTGGATCAACTTTTCCAGCTTCGCAGCATCTTCTCCTGCACCGCCTGGGGGGGGCTTAATGGTTTCGGCGACCGCAAACATGCGCTGGGCCCGCTGGGTCTGGCGTTTTGTGACAAAGGGCCTTCGTCTTGGTTTCATGGACAAAGTCTCACAAACACTGAAAGCACGGAATGGCATGTCCAAAAAAGGGTGCACTTTTCATTCGGGAACGTGTTTCATGTTTTTTTTTCAGCATGTTTTTTTCAAAAACATTGGAATAGCGCAGGTTTCTTATTAGCACCTAGCTAATTACAGCAATTGCGTGTTCTTAGGAGAGACACAGGTGTCGTAGCTGGCCAAATACTTTGGAATAGCGTGGGTGTCAGAGAAATTCCTACCTATCACAACAGTTTGGTGCAGTTAGCAGAGAAACAGTAGAGAGAAAGAGAACTAGCACAGGAGGCATATATGGTTGGTTAGAATTTTTGCCCCGGGGAGTTTACCTTAAAAAATTGATTTCGTGGCAGGCGCGGGTGTCGGAGATGAAGTGCAGATTTCGTGGCGCG